TCCAACCCAGGGGAGGGGGGAACGGGTGCTGTTGCCACATTTCCGCACGCGACTAAAATGGAGAGGGAAACAGAGAGAAGAGCAAGAGCTGCGGCCACAACATGCAAAAATTTAAATAAGTCATATAATCATATAAGCGGTGACCTTTGCTCGACAAGGGACACACAAAAATACCTGGAAACCTGGATCCATTCTTCAAGGAAAGCACTTCCAGTCTTTCCAGTCAAACAATCCTGGCATCCACTCCTACTCAAACGTTGTGGGGAGTCCTTTACCGCTCTCTCCCACACCACTTCCCCAGCCAAATCACGCAACCAACTCTGGGGTGGGGTGGAAGGGGAAGAGATCAACGGCAATTAAGGCGACTGCGTAACAAAAAGAAAAACTTGCAACCAAGGTGCACGCGACAACCCGAACCGCACTGGCCAGCGACCAGAGGCACTGGAGCACAAAAACCAAAAACCAAAGAAAATGAAATGAAATGTCCGGACAACCGGACAACCGGACAACACCCATGACAATGAAGCGGCAACATTCAGCCGAAGAGTCGCGTCTGCGTAATACCAGAAGTAGTCAACAGGTGAACAACTTCCAAGGGGAGAGCGGACCAGAGACGAGTGTGGCGGAGCTGCAGCTTGCCCCGAAGCAGGCCAGGGGGACGACGCGGCATGGCGTGGCGCAACTTCAAGTTGGGCTGTTACAAAGGCAAACAAGTTGGAATCGGAATCGTTTACGCGCTCAACGAAAGTAAAATTCAAAACAAAATAAAAATCCAAATATTAATATAGCAAATACAAGTGAAACGGCCAGAGGGAATCCGCTGATGCGCTACAGCAAGCAGTTGGGAATGAAATTAAAGTTCATTTAAAATTACAATTTGTTAATCCAAAAACTCCCTAATGATACCCCCAGGCGGTGCGATGATTTGTTGGTCATCTGGAAACAGTGGACAGTTGGACGGCCGGCAGCCAAATTGCGGAATTCCTACCACGAGTGCGACGAGCAAAAAGTGTACGAAAAAAATCCCACACCACACGCCACACCATACAACACCAACTATTGTCAATGCGGACTTGTCTTTCTTTCGTTTTCGTGCAACATTTCTCTGCGTTGGACCCAGCACTTGGTCTCCAGCCAGCGACGGCAACGGTTGAGTGTACGGATCGCATTTTGAGTATCTCTTTGACACAAGGATCGGGTTCGATTAAACATGTTTACTATAACAAACTGGAAGTTGGCAATTAGCTGGTGCATTATCGATGTGGTGTGTGTGCTGTCAGGCTCCTCCCATGGCGCCTATACGCGAGAGATTGTGAACGATAAGCCACCGCTGCAGGAGAGACGTGAGTACCAGACTCAGCGAAAAGGAAGTGCAATCAAAGATCCCCCCAATAATCTATGGGCATATCATATGTACATATGTTTCAGCACCCTGGTTACTAACCTGCAAACGTTCCAATCCCAATGAAGATAAGTGCTTCCGGCAGCTGTTCTTCCAGCTGTTTCCAGCGCTGGCCGCTGGCATACCAGAGATCGGTGTCAAGAGCTTTGAGCCGCTGAACATCGATCAGGTGTCCGTGTCGAAGGGCAGTGGGAACCTGGTGCTCTCCGGGGGATTCCAGAACCTGGTCATACGCGGACCTTCCAATGCGACGGTGCGCAGAGCCAGGTAAGACCAGGAAGCACAGTGGCTCAGGGAAAGGAAAGACGTAATTTTAATCCTTTTTCTGGCTTAGTTTGGACCTGGAGCGTCGCCTTCTGAGCTTTGAGCTGGTGCTGCCGCGTCTGCGGATACGAGCCAAGTATAATTTGAAGGGAAACATTCTGCTGCTGCCGCTGGTTGGCAACGGGGATGTGGCCATGGCCCTGAAGAATGTGCACACCACCGTCTACACGAGGATATCGCTGCGCAACGAGACGCAGACGGGTGACGAGATCATCCACATTGACGAAATGAAGGTCAGCTTTGAGGTGGGAGCGATGCGCATCCATCTGAAGAATCTGTTTAATGGCAACGACATCCTGGCCGCCTCGATCAACACGTTCCTCAATCAGAACGGCAACGAGGTGATTGCCGAGCTGCGGCCGGACCTGGAACTGGGCCTGGCCGACATTTTTCACGGCCTGTGGAACAATGTCTTCTCCAAGCTGCCCACCAAGCTGTGGCTGGTATAGATCCAGCACTAGTTCTCTAGCGTATTATTATGATTTATTATAATTTATTGCGCCTCCAACCGGGAGCGTGTGTGTCTATCGCTAGGTTAACTTTTGCACTACGATTAAATCTTTAGCTATACAATATCTTAGATCATTTGTTCTTCTTGGGCATCAGCTCGTCGTAGCTGTATTCGGCAAACATTTTGTCGACAGAGGCGCGCATGATGTCCACCAGTGCCTTGGTCATCAGCGGGCGCACTTCCTCGGCAAGCGACTTCCAGTTCTCGTTGAGGAAGTCGTTCATGCGCTTGCCCAATGCCTCGTCCCCGTTGAACAGATTGTCCAGCTGCATTTTCACATCGGACAGAGTGTACTCCACCTTCACGTTGATGATCTTCAGGTGGGTAGCCCCGTTCTTCTGGTACTCTTGCCCAAACAGCTCCGTCTGCATGGTGATGTTTGCTGTGTGCAAAGAGGAATGAGACGTGAGAGAGTCTTCCAGAGAGTCCATTCTGCTACTCACTCAGATTCACCTTGCAGTGGCCATCGCCCAGCAGCGGCATCATCATGATTTTTCCCTTAAATTGAGGATTATCGAATCAGCTATCGTCTGCCTTTGACATTCATTCACTCTCTACCGACCTTAATGCTGTACTCCGCCTCCATGCGCAGCTCGGGGAATGTCATCGAGAAGATGAACTTCAGTTTGCTGGGCTCGATCCGCAGTTCGTTCAACGTGTGATTGGAAATGCCCGAGATCTTGACGTTCTTGTACACCGAGTGCAGGTAGATGGCTCCCGAATCCTGGTCCATCTTCACCTCGGGCACCACCAGCGGCTCCATTTGCGGTATGTACATCTCCGGTATGCCGTCCATCAGTCGGGGCTTCAACGACTTGAAGGACTTTTTTGCGCACTCATTCAGCGTTGGCAAATCTCGATAGCACACCGTCAGGAAGGAGGCTGCACGAAAGGGGAGAGACTAAAGTCCAGACCCCAATAAGAGTTTCGTTTCACTCACGCAGTCGACTCTTTCCTTGGGGCTTGGCCTGTGTTTGTGCCACTCCCAGCAGCAGCAGCAACGCCAGCCACGTCTTTGTAGTCATCCACATGTGTTCCATTTGGTAGTGTTCCTGGCTCTAGTCTGTTCTTACTGCAGTCTGGCTTCTTCTTCCCTCTGCTGCCAGTTGCTGGCGAGTGTTGGCTCCAATGGCTGTTCCCATGGCTTTTATAGCCGCTTCTGTCGCGTCGTGCGAAGTTGACGCATTCGTACTTTTGCAGCACTTGCAGTTTTTCTCGTGACATTGCAGTCCTCAGCAGTTCTCAAAGCCAAGCTGTTCCCCCGCCCCCACTCCATGTACACATCAATAAAGATTTTTGTATTCGCAAAGTAATTGTGTGGAGGCAGCTTTGCTGTAGCTCCAAGTTCTAAGAAGGAACACTCAAGAACACTCATTTTGTACCCAGATTTTAATAGAACTTGGCAATCACATGAGCAAACAGCTGCTGCTAAAAGGCAGTCGAACGAGAGAGCTTAGCTTTCGGTTACAATCCAAAACCAAAGTGTTTCTCTCAGTTCCATTTTGGACAGTCGAATCATTGCCAACGTGCCTCACTTTAGGTGCAACATAAAAACAATGAAATAATTCTAGTAAAATTAAAGTAAAGTTTAAAAAAATTACGAACGCAGCTTCTGCGCTAACAAACACTAAACAAACTATAAACGAGAAGGAACGTGTAAGACGCTTTTTACGCTTTTTTCACAACTTTTATACCCGGCACTCAGTACTACATCTGCACTTCTTCATCTGTCATCTACATCTACAACACGTCTCACACCAACACGCTCCATTAGCTCACCGCCCTTCCCTAGACCCACACACTGCAGACTCGAGGCAGAGGCACCGTCCGCACGCAAAAAAACAAACGAGAAGGGACGTGTGAGACGCTTCTTACGCGTCACAACTTTTATACCCGGCACTCAGGACTACATCTAGATGTAGAAGACATCGCCAACCACTAGATATCGTTCACATTACAGAACACGTAGTAAAAAGCCTACAAAATAAAATTCATCAAAAAAATTGGATTAGTTAATCGTATTTTCCAATTTATGAGATATTTAAAACAGCAATAAAATTGGTACTTTTTCCCTGCACGTTCTGTGCAATAATGACCGCTAGGTTTCACAGCAGATTTTTCGAAATTGGCGCCATCTATGAACATTTCTGGTACGCAACTTTGATGGTCACTCTTTTTCTAATACAGATCATTAAAAACCGAGTCTTGGTTTTAACTTTTAAAAATTAGCTTTTGGCCACCAAAACTGGTCATTGCGACAATAGTGCATCTGCACCTCAGCTGTGTTTTGTCAAATTTTAAATTTGTTCTTCATCTGTCATCTACATCTACAACACTTCTCACACCAACACGCTTCGTTAGCTCGCCGCCCTCCCTAGACCCGCACACTGCAGTCTCGAGGCAGAGGCAGCGCCCGCACACAAAAAAAACACAAATATAAGCTGCGGGACGGGTTGGGTTAAAAGTCGGCAGAGGCAGAGGCCGAGTCAAGCAGAAGCAGAGTGTGAATGAGAGAATGTAAAAAGAGCAACAAAAGCTGCGGGACAGGGTGGGTTTAGCCACTGGAAATTAATTTCTCCATTGTGGCTATAATAATGATCCGTTCGGATCGCAATTTGATATTTGATCTGATAGATTAGTTTTCTTTTATCTTCAAAACTGTACTCTTTACTCTTCGAGTACCGGGTATAAAAACGAGTAAATATCGACTAAGAACAAAAAACCAAAGGCGGCGTTTAAATATATTAAAATAAAATTAAAAATATTTAATATCTGACTGGCGGTAATTGCTGAGGACTTCTCAGCGGAGAGACTAGATCGAATCGATTTCCATGTCAGCTCTTAACCTGAAAGAAAACTAAAGTAGAAACCAGGTAAAAGCAAAGTGGCTGCCACTTACATCTTGTCGAGACGGTTTGCCTCATCGATGACATTGTTCGTTGTTAGAGAATCAAAGTCGGAGCTGTCGCCCATGGAGTTCATTTTCAGTCGGCCCATAGAATGCTCCAGTAGCATTGGAGGTGGGGCAGAGACGTGCGCCGAAGCGGCAGCAGCGCTGGACAACATCTTGAAATTCAATTGAAATAGCTGCTCTTTGATTTCGGCGAATTTCTGCATGGCTTTCGCCACAGCCTTGATGGCCTTGATGAATAGCAAATGCAGACTATCAATCTCCTTGGCGGTTTCCATTACTCGTTTAACCTCCTGGCTGGGAGACATGGCAAACTGATTGACAGCTTTGCGAAACTGTCCGAGGGAGATTCCAGCCAAGTAATCATGATCAAAGGCAGCCCTATGAGGAGATCGATCTTAGATAAGTAATGGATGTGACAGAGACTGTGGAATCATCCACTTACAAGTCAAATACATCCACATATTGATTCAGAAGCTGGCTGGTGGCCTTTTCAATGGCTCGGGCACCGCGCAAACAAGACTCGAAGCGATCCTTGATGGCTCTGGCAATGTTGTTTGTCTCCTGGTAAGTGTCTGCAAGCAGCTTCCAGTCGCTATCGGTTACCTGAAATCAAGAATCATTATTCAATGAGCCTTCGATTTATCTCCAGCAGATAGTTACCTGGATGGACATATTTTGCTCCTGGACAGAGGCCGTGCGCAGCCTCAGGAGCATGTTGTATGCCTCGGCAGTGGTGAGTATTTGATCGTTGATGGCCGTTATGAACTGATTCGTGACAATCTCATCCTCCAGCAGAAGGGCACGCTCTCGGATGCCCATGAGAAACATATCCACCTGCTTCTGCTGCATCGCCAGCATGTAGTGCATGTCCAGGGCAAGACGCCTCAGCACCCACGAACTGTCCGTTTGGAAGCTGCTTGGGTTGCAGGTCAGCATCAGCTTGGAGACGCGCGGCTCGGGGTCGCTGTAGACACACTTGTCCGACGCCTGGAAGACGAATAACATCACAGGGGGTGGGGGTATTTTGGTCGATTTGAGCGTCTCGCGGCTGGTGTCGCTCCACTCGTGGACATACAGATCCAGGGGTCTGGTGTTTGGCGTGATCCTCTCGTGAGGATGATTGGTGGGCAGGACACAGTACACCTCGCTACTGGCCAGCTTTGTGTCGCGGCAAATCAAGCCGTTCAATTCCTGCATCGTCATATCCGCCGTGACAGCGTACGCCAGAAACTTGAAGCTGTTCATGGCGAATATCGTGAGCACGCGTATCTGGAGAAGCTTGTCAAGATAGGAAAAGACAAATGGGTTTGGGACCGTGCCCGAATGTACTTTATCAGATTCCAATTGGCCGCGTCGCTTGTAGTCGCTGTCGAGGGCCAGGCGCAGCCACAGCAGGAACTGCCTGGCGAATGGCTCCGTCAGATGATGCTCCCTCGGTAGCTCTGTTTGGAAGAGAAATCGACTGGCGTCGTGTGGATCCTCCGTAATGGCAATGCAGTCGGACGTCTTCTTGAGCAGATTGACTAAAATGTTCCTGGGCGTCTGATGAGGTATGAAGGGTAGCTCCCCGGTCGCCAGCTCGTAGGCAATGATCCCCATAGACCAGTAGTCCACCGTCGTGTTGTAGACGCCCGTCTCGACCACCTCGGGGGCAAAGTAGTGGCGCGTTCCCACCACACTCTGCAGCATCGTCTGGTCGGGCGCCCCGCGCGCCAACCCAAAGTCCGTGAGCTTGTAGGTCTTCGAGCCGTCCTTCTGGCGGTGAATCACGATGTTGTCCGGCTTGAGGTCGCGATGACACACCTTGCACTCGGAGTGCAGGAAGTGCAGGGCCTTCCGCAGGGCGCCCAGTATCTCCCGCACCTCGAACTCCGACAGTCCGTTGGCGTTCTCGTGCATCTGCAATTGCTTGCGCACATCCCCCCCGTTGCAGAACTCCAGTATAATTACGGGCAGGCGGCATTTATGGGCGGAATTGAGGTAGGCAACGAAGGAAGCATCGTCATTCCCAAGGCACACACCAGCCACGATGTTCGGGAGTTTCCGGAACGCACGCGTAAACTTCAGCTCCATCATCCATCGGTCCTTCAACTTGACCTGCTGATCGGCCCCCAGCGAGTTCACGTCTTTGATATGTTTGGTGGCTGGAGAGCATAATAAACAAACGAAGGGCTATTATCTCTGAGACGCATAAAGCGATTCTACATGACTCAGACCCACCAAGAAGCGGGACCGACCAGACACGACCAAACGGCCTTTTTGATAACAGCGATCACTCCTTGACGAAAAGCTTGCATAAGCGCAATTCCAGGAATGGAGCTGTTTTCACACAATTTTCCGCAAAAAACATCCATATATGGAAAGTAGAGTGCGCAAGTGTCGGTTGCTGATAATGTGAGATCCGTCCCCGTCGCCTTACCTATTTCCTGGCCTGTGGTCTTATTCTGCCAGTGCAGAACCTCGCCAAAGCCGCCCTGGCCCAGTTTTCCCTGCAGCTGCCAGTTTCTCCAGGAGTTCATTTTTATTCACTTGGTTTACGCGATCCAACTGAAATCGGAACTGAAACTGAAACATCCACAAACTTTTTGTTAGAGATGGGAGAAAATTCGGAAGGCCAAGACGATGTTTTTTTTTTAAATCACAACCATAGATAAGATGTGCAATCATTTTAATAAAATGATTATGCACTTATGCACCTTATGCACTTTGAAGTTACTTAATTGTGGTTCTGTTAATCTGGGCTTACTACAAAATCTCCATATTTCTGCCGTTTGTCCAAAGCAATACTCCACCAAGTAAAGTGATCGATATGTCTATCGCTTGGGAAATACCATCTCTAATCAAACAGGTTGTAAACAAAAACTGAAAAACTGCAATTGCAAACAAAAAAGAGCAGAATACTCGTCACCCCCACCCGCATGCTTGTGTTAAAATGCGTTTCCACATGAAGAGCGGCAACGATGATAATGACATTGTGGCAGCCACAGCATGTGCCGAGCATATACGGAAATTCGTCTTCACCAGCAGCCACGCCGCCGAGCGTCTGGAAATCAAAATCCCCGAGGTACGTATACTCAAACTCCAGGTCTGACTGCCACGACCACTATGTGCTATGCTTTTGTTGCTGCAGCTGCTCCAAGGTGCCTACTCCTTCTACACATGGCCCTGTGCGCCGGTCTTGGCCCATTTCCTGTGGGAACGGCGACAGACACTGGCAGGGAAGCGGATTCTGGAACTGGGCAGCGGCACAGCTCTGCCGGGCATACTGGCCGCCAAGTGCAAAGCCCATGTGGTGCTCACAGACAATTGCATACTGCCCAAGTCACTGGCGCATATCCGCAAATCCTGCCTTGCCAATCAACTGCAGCCCGGCGTGGACATCGATGTGGTGGGCCTCAGCTGGGGGCTGCTGCTGAACAGCGTCTTCCGGCTGGCGCCTCTCGACCTGATTATAGCCGCTGACTGCTTCTACGATCCTAGTGTCTTCGAGGACATCATTGTGTCGGTTGCGTTCCTCTTGGAACGGAACTGCGGGGCCAAGTTTATTTTCACGTACCAGGAGCGGAGCGCCGACTGGTCCATTGAGGCCCTGCTGAAAAAGTGGAAGCTGCAGGCTCTGCCCATCAACATGGACGACATTGGCAAGGAGTCGGGCGTGGATGTGCTGGAGTTTATGGGCGGGCACACCATACATCTGCTTGAGATAACGCGCTCTGAGAACATTGCTATAATAAATACAACAAAATGATAAATGAATCATAGAATTTTGCTTTTTCGATTTTCGCGCCTTTGGTGGATCATGTGTGCAGTTTATTTTGCAGCTGCCGCTTATCGCACGAAAGTATCGGTATGTCTTACAAAAATTATCAGGCGAATAAATCAGCCATAAAAATATACATATAATATATATATAGGTTCTTTCTTTACTTTCTTTTGCGTTTAAACTAAGGTATTTAAAAATTTATTTTTTTCTGTTATATTTCTTGTTCGTTTTGTTAACATAATCGTTTTTAATTTATAGATTGATATGTCTAGGCTTGTAATGTCCGTATCAAACTCTCTTGTGAGAGACTATTCCCTGAAGTGACTTAAATAAACAGAAACAAACAAATGTATCCAATTTATTATATATTATACAAAATCTAGGAGATAAAAATGGCTGTGAAAATTGTGAAGTTGAAAAAGAATTTCTTTTCCAAACGAAGTTTTAAGTAATGTTTTATAATATAGGAAAAAACTTATTTGAAACAAAGGCGGTGAGCGATAAATTTATCGATATATTTCTTAGATCGGGAGATCGTCTGACAGAGAATTTCCTTGAACGTTTAGACGCAGGAGAGAATTTCACTGACCATCAAATGAAAAATTCAAACACAAATTTGTAAAAAATAAGGTCACAAGGTATACAAGCCAATAAAACGAGTATTTATAATAAGCCAAATTGATTCTTTAATCGGATTAAATTATTGTTTCAGTGTTAAAACTATTTGCAAGCTAGTAATGCGAAATAGAACATCAACATCGCAGAATATGATTCAAGACCACGGCATATTAGGGTATATTTTTAAAATTATATGGTTTATTTTGGTTTATTGTTGAGGGTGTGACGGTATATTTTATCGATAATTCCGCCGTCACACTGAGCGACGCTTTGGTCGCTGCTTTTAAGAACATTTATTATTTATTTAAAACCCGAAATACCAAGTAATTTGCTTGTGGCAAAGTGTGGCAGCCAGAGTGCAAGACCGTCGTTTGTTTTTTTATTATTATTTATTATTGCTGCTGCCACAAAAGCCCATACTCGGTGTGTGCGTCGTGAGTGTTTATAGAGTGTGCAAGTGTGTTTGTGTTTCGCCTGTGAAAAATCGAAGTTATTGCATTGCGCAGCCTTTTGCCGCGGCAGCCCTTTATGCCAAGGAATTCCATGCTAATGGTGAGTGCCAAGGAATGCGCTTGAGTGAATCGAAATGTTTTAGGGTTTGTTTTCTGCCGTTCTGGCAGCTGCTGATGCTGCTGCTGTTGCAGCTACTTCAGTGGGCGTCGCTTGCGGTTGGCGTGAATTACGTCTTACGACACTCTGCTGCGCTTTTGCAGCTATCCAATTGCATTTACTGGAAATTAAAATCCGTCCAATGGGTTACTGGAAGGAACAAACGGTAAACGACGGCATTTTGTTGACGCACAGCCCTGAGAGGCAAACATTTGTTGTTGCAATTGATCCGTTAATTCGAATGCGGCTGCGTGTCTACATGTGTGTGAGAACGGGAGAGTGAGAGAGAACGAGAGACGCTCTGGCGAGGTCATAGCGGATAGCCGACTTGTGGAATGCTCTGCACTGACAGATACTACGTCACATAAAGGTATACTAAATGGAGGGTGAGGCAGAGCCGCTTCAAACACCATTCTCGAGGACTCTGCTTTACCTTTTGTCAAATTTCCCTTTCGTCTAAGCCAAACATAAGCTTGCGTGCGTGTGTCTCCTTTGGAAGGGATGATATTTGCCTGATTTATGCCCTGTTGCTGCACTGTCTGCATTGTCTCGTGTTTTTTGGGCGATGAACTCATCCTGGTGCCTCGTCATCGTCTGGAGACAAGCCCAAGAAGCACAAGAGGCGGCGGCAACATGAACTTTGCCCAAAAACTAATTTGCACGCCCAATTCTATTTCTGAGGCAAATAAAGGCAGCTTCTAAATATGGACAGGCCTGACGTCCGACCCATTTAAATGTTGTCGCCACTCCGCCGACGCTGCTGCATTCGTTCAGGCGTGACAGATGCTCCGGCCGATGCATTCCTTTGGGGGTTTCATCCACAATTAAGCTCAATTTTGAAACATTAGCATTGATTTCTCCTGACACTCCACAAGTTCTGCTCCATTGGGGTTTGGTTTGCAGTTGATTTTAAAATTTCCGTGTCACATTTCATTATTCTCCTCTTAATCCGATAGGTTGCTCATTGAGACACAAGGTTTCCAAATAGATCACTGAGAAGAAACCCCAGGCAGACGCCAGATATACCAGAGCGCGCATCATGGCCGAGGATACGGAGTACAAGAAGCTGCCGGTGGAGGAGCGTTGCGTACACAAGTTGTGGAAGGCCCGCGTCGATGGCTACGAGGAGGCAGCCAAGCTCTTCCGCGAACTGGACGACGAAAAGTCCCCGGAATGGTCCAAGTTTGCGGGACTCATCAAGAAAATGGTTGTGGACTCGAATGCCTTGGCCCAGGAGAAGGGTCTCGAGGCGGCGCTTATTTTCGTGGAGAACAGCGGCCTCGCCGGTCGCACTGTTGGCGATGTTATGTCGGGCATTGTCCAGAAGTGCATTGCCGCACCAAAGACCAAGACCAAGGAGCTCTCTGTGCTGGTCACGCTCATGTACGTGGAGATTGAGAAACAGGAGGCTGTCGTCGAGGAGCTGGTCAAGGGCATGGACCACAAGAACCCCAAAATTGTGTCCGCCTGCGTGGCAGCTGTCACCCTGGCTCTGCGTGAGTTTGGCAACAAGGTTGTGGGCGTCAAGCCGCTGATCAAGAAGCTCGCTCCACTCATGTCCGACCGCGACAAGGCGGTGCGCGACGAAGGCAAGCAGCTGGCCGTGGAGATCTATCGCTGGATCGGTGCCGCCATGAAGGCACAGATTGCCACCCTGCCGCAAGTGACACTTAAAGAGCTGGAAGATGAATTTGAGAAGCTCAAGGGAGAGCGTGCTGAGCCCTCCAGGTTAGATACTTATGAGATCTTTTTGTCATTGTATAGTCTTATAATTTGTTTTTATTTCATTGTAGATATCTCAAGTCACAGCAGGAGAAGCAGGCCAAAATCGCAGAGACTGCGGCCAGCGAGGATGTGTATAATGGTAATACAAATGCCATTTAAATTACGTTCCATTTGTTTTCTGTCTGTATCGCTTCCTTTAATGTATATTTTTTTACCGAATTCTGGACTAACGTTTGTTTGTTTTTTATGTCAACTAACCCCTCAATTCAATATATTTGTTTGATGTTTTCATTTGATGATGAAATGAAACTCGAAAAAGAAAGTACGTGCCCAATTATAGCATGCAGCGAAATAGAAAGAAAATAGTCATTGTTCCCACTCTAAAACCCTTCCCCGTTGTGTATCCCTTACAGAAGAGGATGGTGATGCTGGGGCTGAAGAAATGGATCCCATGGATCTGCTCGATCCTGTGGACATACTGTCCAAGATGCCCAAGGACTTTTACGATAAACTCGAGGAAAAGAAGTGGACTCTGAGGAAGGAGTCTCTAGAGGCGTTGGAGAAACTGCTTACCGATCATCCAAAGCTGGAGAGCGGCGAGTACGGAACTCTGGTGAATGCACTGAGGAAGGTGATTACCAAGGACTCCAATGTGGTCCTGGTGGCACTGGCTGGCAAGTGTCTGGCCATGTTGGCCAAAGGATTGGTCAAGCGCTTCTCCAACTATGCATCGGTGAGTGCTTTTCGAGGACCTCTATTGGGTCAATCTAATCGGGGAAACCCTCTGATATTCGCAGGGCTGTGTGCCATCGCTGCTGGAAAAATTCAAGGAGAAGAAACCCAATGTGGTGGCTGCCC